CTGTAATTGTCTCACAAAATAAACCTCTTCTCCAGGGCTTCATTGCATTTTAAATTTGAGTGAACATGTAAAATCAAGTTCGCAATGTTTTAGTTTATATATGAGCTATGAACTATGGTTACTTTAACTTGTGTTTAATTTATGTATATATGTATATATGAATGTATGTACATATGTACATATGTATGTCTGTATGTGTGCACATACATGCATAAATGCATACTTACACTTAGTACCAATACTGGGCTTCAACTCAGTGTGTTTTACTCTTGCTTGGATTTTTTTACTCAAGGTTTAAACTCTAGCACTTGAGTGACAGCTCCAATTCTGGCTTTTTGTTTGGTTAATTGTAGATAAGAATTTCACAGAATTTTCTACCCAGGTTGATCTTCAGCTCTCAGCTTCTTAAGTAATTTTAATTACAGGTGTGAGCCACCAGCACCCAGTTAGTTTTCTTCTTAAAATTTTCTCTTGAATATTTATCTGCATTAACTATGTTCTGGTCATCTTCTTATGAGATAACTACATTTGGCTTTATTTCCTTCAAATTTGGAAGAAGACTCTACAGTTTTTTGTGCCAGTACTCTGGATTGAACTCAGGGTCTCTCACTCTCCCTTCTTTTGGCTTATTTTCTTTTGTGTCAGTTGTAGGGCTTGAACTGTGGGCCTGGGCACTCTCCCTCAGCTCTTCAGCTCAAGGTCAGTGCTCTACCACTTGAGCCACAGCTCCATTTCAGGTTTTCTGAGTGGCTTATTAAAGATAAGAGTCTCACAGATTTTCCTGCCCTATCTGGTTTGAACTGTGATCCTCAGATCTCAGCTTCCTGAGTAGCTAGGATTACAGGTGTGAGCCATCTGTGCCTGGCTGTTGGTTGTTTTGATCAAGGCTGCCACTCTAGTTGAGACACATGTCTCCTTCTAGCTTTATTCTTTTTATAGTCAAATCTTGCCTAGTATCAAAATTATTTGTGGGAGTCAACACTACTTAGTGAGATAGCAATTCTTTACTATGTAGTATTAAGTCAGGAAATGCTTTAAAAATATTCTTAGTTCCAGCGGGGCGCTGGTGGCTCACGCCTATAATCCTAGCTACTCAGAAGGCTGAGATCTGAGGATCGTGGTTCAAAGCCAGCCCGGGCAGGAAAGACCGTGAGACTCCTATCTCCAGAAAACCGGAAGTGGCGCTGTAGCTCAAGTGGTAGAGCGCTCGCCTTGAACTGAAGAGCTGAGGGACAGCGCCCAGGCCCAGAGTTCAAGCCCCACGACCGACAAAAAAAAAAAAAAATTCTTAGTTCCAGAGCTGGGAACGTGGCTTAGTGGTAGAGTGCTTGCCTAGACTGAATGAAGCCCTGGGTTCGATTCCTCAGCACCACATAAAAAGAAAAAGCCAGAAGTGGCACTGTGGCTCAAGTGGTAGAGTGCTAACTTTGAGCCAAAGAAGCTCAGGGACAGTGCCCAGGCCCTGACGTCAAGCCCCAGGACGTGTGTGTGTGTGTGTAGATATATGTACATATATTCTTAGCACTGAATAATTTATGTTCTTAATTCACTCTTCCTTTATTTTTTATTAGAAGCTGAGACAGCCTGAATAGAGATAAGAAATGACACAGAAATCTTGAAACTGATGTATTTATATAAAGTTAGAATCATGGACTTTTACAAATGTTGAATAATTCTCTACTGATGCTTTGTGCTATAGTTGTTTTAATTCACTTAACATGACTACAACAATATATCACAGGTTGGGTAATTTATAAACAATTGAAGTGTATTCATTTCACATTTCTGAAAGCTTGGAAGCCCAGTATGAATGGGGTAGGCTCTGAAGTTCTTTCTAGGTCATAGCATGATGGAAATGATCACATATTGAGAGAGCTCAAGAATGCACACACTCTTTTTTTTATTTATATATAGTGCCAAAGTCTTATGATCTGATCTAATCCCAATTATCTCCCAAAGCTGCTTTTACTCAAATGTAATCAACTATGAATTTGAGATTTAGTTTCCTGCGTATATACTGGTAGGACAATTTCAAACAACCATACTGAGAATGAAATACTGTAGTATAACCATACACAGTTGAAAGAAACAGTTCAGATTGTGGTAAAATATTATCAGAAATACATACAAGAAAACATGATGGTGTAAAGGAGTTTGAGTTTAGCCAGGCAATACCAGTGGATCACATCTGTAATCCTAACTTTTTAGAAAACTGTGGTATGAGAATCATAGTTTGTACCTAGCCCAGAAAGAAAAGTCTATGAGACAAAACTGAAAGTAGAGGTGTGGCTTGTGTGGTTGAGCAACATCTTTTAGTGGAAGAAAAGCCAAATGAGAGATAGAGGCCAAGGTCAAACTCCAATGCATATATACATATATACATATATGTACATACACACATAGATACATACATATATACACATATATGTGTATATATATATATATATATAAGCTAATTATTTCAAATCTGGTTTCAGTTCTTTATAAGCAATCAAGAGAATTTGGTCCTAACATGTCATATATTACAAGAAAAATAACATACACATTCAAATCAGCTAGGATCATATATCTCTGACCATCTTCTATGGTTAACAGTATAATAAAAGAAAATGCATACTTAGGAAACACGTTGAAAAGAATGTCTTTCCCATATAAACTATGGAAGAGCTGCTCTTCCATGCCTGAAGAGGACTAAATTCCAGTCTGGTAAAGAAGTGCATGAGATATAGCCCAGGCTGGGATATGAGCTTATGAAGCTGCTTAAAAAGCCAATTTGGTCTACACATTCTGTCTCTTAGATGCCAAGTTCTTTTAGGAAAAAAAAACCTAGCAAAGACATTGACAGATCATATAATTGTTGAAACCACTAAATAGTTTTTTTTAAAAAAAAAAGAATAAAATACCTTTTTAAAATCAGAACACAAAGTCTCTTTTCTTGCCCCCCTTCTTTCATTTTAATCTGTGTAATGAGTTTTTTCCAGATTCCAAAAGTGTAAACAAAACATGTTTGTTCTACACTTTCTATTACCCAGTACAATCGGGGAAAAGGAAACCATTATGATGTTAAATATTCTTTAAAAATTCATTTTTATAAATAGACTTTCTCAAATATCACTGCTCTTGCATGATGATCACTGCTGTATGATGTAGATGGGCTGGGTGAAGTAGCAGAAGGATTCCTATCAACCTACTGCAGACAATTCTCTATTTGCAAGGCACAGCATGCTCAGAGCTAGCAAGTTTCCAGGGGGTTTGTGATCACTATATGCTGGGGATGGAGCTCAGCGAGGACATCTTAGGCATTGGGAACAAACTGGTTGCTACATTTGGGAGAAAAAAAATACTTCAGAGGAATAATAGCTATCAGAGGTGGTTCTTTTTCGTCTTTATTTCTAAGAGCTATTTCTCCAAGAATATAGAAGAAGATCAGATTTGATTATATTTTTATCATGAGATGAATTATACAAACAACTGGGAAATACAATTTTAAGCATTAAATGGAATTTGGTCCTTATGAATATATAGATTTGGATATTAGAATTCTATTTTTCCTTGTAATTTCTATCTTTTACAGCTTCTGCACTGTCTGTAGTTAGTGTACTGATTTCCCTGTGTAGTTACACAAGACAATATTTTCATTCACTAACCACATTTCATGGTACATTAATAATATCAACACTGACACATTTCCCTGTGTGTTGGGTTCAGGGAATCCTATGTTAAGAGACATAGGGACATTTGTTAAGCCCAGATAAATATTAAATATCACTTATGAGACAGAGGGAGAGATAACAATGGCATTTACTGTCAGCCCTGAAGTCCTTTGAGATACGTATGAGTGCATATGACTTGTTGAGTGTATTAAAGCAGATGCTAGTCAGCTGTACTGCATATGCTGGTTTTCAAATACAGTTTTAGAATGGGGTGGTGTTAGAATAGGTGTTGATGAAAAGTTAGATTATGAGGATTATGAGCTTTGGAGGGTATAATTTAAATGTTTATTTATTTGAAATATTTTAAACAGTGATTTGAAAAATGAAGAAATGGCATTGGAAAAAGATGAGGACTGTGGCAAATCAAAAGGAAAACAGTAGTTAAAACAATAAAAGAACATTTGGTTTGAATTACATTTTAAGAGAAGAAAACTGATTATTAATTTAGTCTGGAGTTGAGTTTGTGGGTTTTTGTTAATGGTTTTATTTCTTTTGTGTCTTGCGGGAGCTTGAACTCAAGGCCAGGGTGCTATTCCTGAGATTTTGTGCTCAAGACTAGAGCTCTACCACTTGAGCCAAAGCTCCACTTTAGCATTTTGGTGGTTCATAGGAAATAGAGTTTCATGGACTTTCCAGGGCTGGCTTCAAGCTCAGTTCTCAGCCGCCTCCTGAACAGCCAGGATTACAAGAATGAACCACCAGTGCCTAGTTGCTGGGCTGAAGTTTTACCAAATCACAAAATCAGAATTGTTTTTTAATAGGTCCTTTCTGGGCCAAATTCAGAACTATTATATAAGGAATTGTTTTGAATTTGATTACAATTTCTTCAACTATGAACATTGGAGGTCAAAGAAGGAACAAGCTATGGCAAACCTTTTACTTACTTTTGATTATTTTTAGGAGGTTGTTCATTATTACACATTGTTCTACACATTTCCGCTTCCCCAAAACAATATCAACAGGGTTTATTGTTCTATTTTCCCAGTTGGAAATAATCCATTTCTACCATTTCAACTTCCTTTAGCCTCCTTATTAGCTGAATTTCCTCCAACTTGTACTCACTACAAGTTGTTTTGTTTATGCTTTTATTTGAAATGAACAAGTTATTGAGCTTTTTTCTTTGTAAAAATTTACAATGTTTAAGAAAGAGAAGTTTTATAAAAATATATTTTCCCTCTGTGTTTTTGAAGTTTTGGCTTGTATAAAATATATGCAAGGAGACAAATAAAAGAGCAAAAATCTCTTAATTATGGAATAATGGTAAGATATTTTCTTTTTTTCTTTCAGCTCTCCGGGGAAGTGCTTTTGCAAATTGCCAGCGAGCCAGTTCTTCCTTTTAATGCTCTTGATATAGCTTTAGAAGTGCAAAACAGACTTAAAGGTAATTTCTTTTTAAATCATGGTAATTTAATTAAATAACAAAGTGTCCAACTAGGCTTCACTAGGGAATGGGTGAATTAACTATAGTCTTTTTAGCTTTAGCAAGTTGCTTTATGCTTCTTCTAGATGGTTATCATGAGAAGGATCCAAAACTTTAGCAACATGTCAACAAAAACAAGATGTATTTATGTGAGAGTATCAGGCCAGTCATCAGAATTAAAGGGTGGCCCACCTACATTTGTTTATCCGAGAGACTTTTGATGAACAATTTCTGTTATTTACAGGTCCATAGGAAATAATTTTAGTCAGGGTTCCAATTATTTTTCAACAATGTAACTAATACCCAGTCCACTTACACAAGACGGAGTTAGAAGTTTCTTCTATGGATGGTTTTTGTGAGGTTTGGGCATCATTCTTTACAATTGATAAGTGGGCTCCTGTTAAAGACAAGGAAGACACAACCAGAAAATTATTGCCATCATCTCTGTCTCAATCTCTTCTTGGTGGAGTACATCTGTCTACAAAATTTGTCCTTGCCCTCATCACTGCTTCCATTTACCCTTTACTCATATAGAAACCTTTCAGTGAAGTTCTTGTTTATCTCTACTAACCAAATGCAAAGGGAAATACTGTGCTTAAAAATCTCACCCTGCTCTTGAATTACACATTTGTTCTTCAGATCTTTCATAAATGATTTGTAGGCAGCTGCTTTTCAATACAAAGTTAGTACTTTAACTTTGGTATTTAGGTAGCAATTTTTGAAAACTGACCATCCTATCCACCCAAATGTTACCCATAACTAAAATGTGAAGTGTTTTCTTTTAAATTAAACATTCTGGATTCCTTTTTACTCAAAAAAATTCTCCAATGCGATTACACATTTCCCTCAATGAATCTTTTATAACTTTTATTGTAGTGGCTAGGAAATGATGTGGGGAATTATTGAGCTGTTTAGGGTTATTTGTTCTCAAATAAAATGGCTTCATATTGCAGTGCTTTTTGTATGTTTAAGTCACTCTGAAGAGTTTCCTTTTTTCCTCCTATCACCAGACTTACATTTCACTGTTTTCTGGATGTCTATGAAAGCAGTCACTTGTTCCCCTCAAATTGACTATTTCTAAACTATTTAGGGCTTTGAAACTGGGAAACCAAGCATATGAAATTTTACCAAATAAGAACAGATATAAGTGAAATATTAAATAGTTCTGTGAATAATAATCACTTTTCTGAAAGCTTAATCTTTAAGTATCTATTTTATTTGTGCTGTAGACCATTTGGATTTTTCTTTAGATTTTATTTTCACCCACCAGAAAATGTCATTGGTGTAACATACAATGCTTTAAAGTTTCAGAGAATAAAGAGGTTCTTTACAATACAATACATAACTACTTGTCTATCTCTAAAGGAGTAACTATCACACAGAGCAAAAGAACATAAATGCATTTATTTCAGAGTAATATCATTGAACAATAGATGTATAAATTATAAACAAGTTTCTTTCTTGAATCCTATTTTCTGTGATAAATGGGCTCATTGAAAATTGTATTGTCTCTGAAAATATCTTTGTAAGAAATATAAAAGCTATATTCAAAAAAGTTAAATGAGTAAAACCAGTAGAAACAAATGTGCTTGCAAAACTATTCTAAATAGTAAGTTCTATTAATTTAACAAACTTCAAGTTGCTTTTAAGTGTCCATTAATAGCTATAGTGTTTCATTATCATAACTGCAATATGAAGATTTAAATAAGGTAGACTATGAAACCAAAATAGGACTTCTTGTTCATCGTTAGAATTATATAATTACTCAGATTTCTGCGTGTAGCTAAGGACCTATTTCAATATATGATCTTTCTCCTCACAAAGTTAAACATGTATATATATTTAGCATGTAAACTGGGCACTGGTGGCTCTGTAATACTGTATAACTAGATCCTCAATAGGCTGAGGTTGAGGATAGGTTCAAATCCAGCCCCAGCAGAAAGGCTGTGAGAGTCTTACATCAAAATATCCAGCTAAGCACTAGCAGTGGAAGTACGACTTGAGTGGCAACATGAGCAAAAAAGGTAAGGAATAGCCCAGGGCTGTGGGTGGGGGTATGATGGGGAGGTGCATTTAAGGTAAGGAATAGCATAGGGCCATGGGTGTGGGGTAGGATGGGGAGGTGCATTTAAGCTCCACTACCAGTTAAAAACAAACAAACAAAAAAACCAAACATGTGATTCCTAAGCAGATCACAGTATCCCCTGAATTCTTCTTTTACACACTTAACAAAACTGTTAATCATTTATAGTATGTTTGGCATAATTCAATTACAACATACCTGAAGAACACTTTAGCCAAAAAAGAACGAAATAAAATATGATTTAAACTCACTTCCTAAGAAATATACATATATACATTACTATGGCAGAAGAGAACTAACACAAAAATAATAAAGCAAATTAGAATATAGCATTAGACTCAAGTTGAACTCTAATATTACTCTCTGTGGATAGAATTTATAATCTCAAAGAGTTATAGTCGAACTTAGTAGCTGTATCCACATGCACAGGAGAGCTTTGATTTGGAAATAGAAACATGAGCACTGTCCTAGGTGAGACTATTAAGGAATTGTGTGCAGAGAGAAGATAAATGGTCTAAGATTTGGGAGGTAAGTCAAGATTTATAAACCAGGAGAAATGATGTAGTCAGAGAAAGGTCTCATGAAGGTGTGGTCAAAGGAGCAAAGGAACAAACAGATGAGTGTAACATCCTGATGGTACATGGATAACATCCAAATGGAGGAGTCATTATCTGACAAGATGAGGAAAATGAGGACTGAGAATTCAACACTGGGTTTGGCAATTTGAAGTTGGTTGGGATCTCAACAAAAGCAGTTTATGGAGTGGTGTAAGAAAAAGCCTTTGTGGAGGGATTAAGAAGGGAATAGATATTGATAAACTGAGGTCATGTGTGGCAGTTTGCAAACTGCGGAGGCAAAGAAGGTTTAGGATGCTTATCCCAATGGCACGAGTCCAGCATGGAGAAACTGTGTTCACAAGAGAAAAGGAACATTGCTGGTCTCATTTTCATAAGAAAGAGAATGGCCAGGTTAGAAGATGTTGCCTTAGTTAAGAACTGTCTTAGCCGGGCGCCGGTGGCTCACGCCTGTAATCTTAGCTACTCAGGAGGCTGAGGATAGCGGTTCAAAGCCAGCCTGAGCAGGAAAGTCCATGAGACTCTTATTCCAATAAACCACTAGAAAACCAAAAGTGGTGCTGTGGCTCAAGCGGTAGAGCACTCGCCTTGAGCTGGAGAGCGCAGGGACAGCGCCCAAGCCCAGAGTTCAAGCCCCACGACCGACCAAAAAAAAAAAGAAGAAAGAACTGTCTGAGTCAAGTCAGGGGGCTGTCACAATGCAATCAACTGTGTGATTGGTAAATGCCAGAAATTCTGGAGGTTGTGAAGTCCAAGATGAAGCCATAGAAGACTCACAGGTGGCTCTCCTCCTGCTTTTACCTCACATGGTAGAAGGTGTAAGGGATTTATATTGGACACTAATCTTACTTTTGAGGGCTCTGGACTTAGGACCAGATCATTTTTCAAAGACCCCGTCTCCTCATACTGTCACTAAGTGGTTTGACTCCAAAATACAAGGTGATATATGTAGATATACATATAGATATTTGTTATTGCAAAGGTAAATTACAGAGGAGTGATGGTTATGTAAGTCAGGTAATGAGTACATTTCTTTTTGGACCATGTCACCCCTTCACCCTCCTTCTCTTTCTCTCTGTCTGTCTCTGTCTCTGTCTGTTTGTCTATCTGTCTGTCTGTCTCTCTCTCTCTCTCTTTCTCCAAGTTTTCCCTCTTATCCTTATTCCCAAGCTGTATAGTTCATTTTCTTTATATTTATTTATTTATTCATTTACTTTTTTGTTGGTCATAGGACTTGAACCCTTGGCCTGCACACTGTCTCTGAGCTTTTCAGCTCAGGAGAGTGCTCGACCACTTGAGCCACAGCACCACTTCCTATTTTCTAGTGGTTAATTGGAGATAAGAGTCTCACAGAATTTCCTGACTGGGCTGGGTTTTGAACCTTGATACTCAGATCTCAGCCTCTTGAGTAGCTAGGATTAAAGGTGTGAGACACCTGTGCCTGGTTGTATATTTGATTTTCAACTCAGTATCTAGTGAATATCACTGCTGCACTTGTTCGCCCTTTGTCCCATCCTTTCTTTGCCCCTCCCTTGCCATCCCCCAAAACAGATAAAGGAATAAACAAGACAAAAAGAAAAGAAAACAAAAACAGCAACAAAGAAAAAGGAGGCAACAATGCTGGATAGGAAATGTACTGATTATCTTGCTCATGTAAATGTAACACGTCTATACAGTATTTTTGCAATAAAAAACATAATTAAAAACAAGAAAAATAAAACTCTTGTTTCCATTTCCTGGAGTTTGTTTCAAAAAATATTAGTTTATATGATAAGATGCATTTAGTTATTGAGCCTTCATAATCTTTTCCCAAGAATACCCTCCTTTGGTCTCAACTGTGTGTGAATGCTTAGAGACCTGTATAATTTATTATGCCCCAGTGTATATTTTGTAGCAGAAAATGTACTTCTTGTAGATTTTAAGGCACATATTAGTTAACACAAATGAAGGCTTATGTCACTTAATATAATTTTTCCAAGTCTTTTCATTTCCTTGTGAATGGTACAAAATCATTCTTTTGGATAGAACACTAGAATTCCACTGTATATATGTACACATATTCTTGATCTATCTGTATATTGAAGGGCATATAGGTCAATTCCATATCATGTGTATAGTAAACAATGCTGCAATGAACATAGTTGTGCTGGTACCTTTAATGTGGCCTGGTTTGTAGTCGGTTGGATAAATATCCAGGAGTAGATTGCTTGTTCATAGGGAAGCTTTATGCTTAGTCTTTTGAGCAAAATTCATACTGCTTTCCAGCATGATTGAGCAAGTTTACATTACCACCAAGAGTGAAA